AGCCTATCATAGATTTTAGATCTGTATTATTAGTATCCTAGATATATGCTCTGAGCGCAAATGCGGTGGCGGGAGGGCACACTTGATTCGGTTGCCAGTGAGTTTATCAGAAGAATACCCGGCTACACTACACGTCAGTTGAGCGCTGTCACTCTGCGGCACTTGTTAAATAGACCCTTTCCGCTGAATAACAAAACCAGGGCGCGAAATTAGCACCAGTCCACCGAATATGCCGGCAAATTATTTTGAGGGCCGGTAATGTTGCCAAAACACCGGCCCTCCGAGCTGGTGGTTTCAACCGTGTTAGCGAGTACCTACATGTTTATTTATAGCATTAATGAGCAAATAGCCTACAATACTGTTTTACCTGAAGGATATCACGCCATACTTTATCAACATTTTACAAATTTGAAATCGAGAATGCAAGCGTGAAACATGACACTGACAAAAACACTTTATTCACGATCTGCATTATAGTCTGTTCAACAGCTACTATGCGATGCCACACACTACAACATTTTTCGGACAAGCAAGAATTAGTGAAACAGTCTTATCTTTATTTTTGAAACACAAAATTTGTGAGGGCTGGTAAATTATGGTGAGGGCTGGTAAAAAGTTGCTGTTACCAGCCATCTGGGCCGGTGTAAAAAAAATCTGAATTTCATGCCCTGCAAAACCATCTAGAAGAAAGATAAATTGATAAGAGAAAATAACTGATCAAATTTGCAACTATTTATATGCCTAGTCTCACACAACAGTTACAAAGTAAAATAAGTGATTACAGTGAACCACATTTCGCAGGCAATAACAAAAGTGTACAATAAACCATGTTTAGATTACCAAAATTACATGGGCCTCATAGAAGATACTTAGTGGCCAACAGCAGAATGTAATGCTATGCGTCACGTTTGACACCTGCCAGGGTTAGTCTCAGTTGAGGAGAAGTAGGTGTGCCTCATGCCAGGCTCTAACTAAAGTAGAAGCAGGCCTCTTGCCTGCTGCTGATGCTATCAAGCATTCACTGGCCTATTTCAATACATAGTAGCTGGGCAATGTAATTTGACAAACGGGGTGCTACCATTGTGTTCCGAGACAGACTGATGCCAATCTATAGTTGGGCAATGTTGCACACGAGGCCAGGGGCAGATTGGAAACCATGTTCTGTTCTTGGGCATTCAAAAACATGCACAAAACTAGACAGAGGGCACTCAAAGAGAGTGCATACCTCCGCGAGCGTGTAACATGTATACATGTGTATAACAGCTGGCTCGCTGCTGCTACTGCTGCCTGGACGTTCTAAGGCGAGCTGCTGCTGCCTGGACGTTCTAAGGCGAGCTGCTGCTGCCTGGACGTTCTAAGGCGAGCTGCTGCTGCCTGGACGTTCTAAGGCCAGCTGGTGCTGAATCGATCGCGCCAACGCTACAGCGTATAACAGCTGCCTCGCTGCTGGCTACACACACACGAACACACACACGAACATCACACGAGAGGGGTCACATTACCTCCCTGCAACTCCGTTGCGGAGGTAATCAGCACAGTAACAGTGTAAATAACTAATGTTACAATAGTTCCCACCATTCATGGTTTGTAATGATTCTCTAATTAAATTGTAAGATCAGAGTTTTGTGAGTGGGTAAGAGAATACCTCAAGATGACTGTGCTGATATTAAATGTCGTTTTTTAGGCAACCAAACAAGATTTCTGTTGCCTGGACAAGAAGAAGCAGAAGAAAGTCATCTGAGGTTTGATAGTTTCTCATGTCTCAATTTTGTACCCATTTAGGGTGTAAATACCTATTCTATTTCCACCGTTTAAAAACTTAATCGTGTGCATGCATTTTTTAGTTCTAGCATAAAAGATATAGAGTTGTGAATAAGTAATAGTACTTTCAGTTGATCATGTATTTGTGCTACATGTTATGTAATTTGAACTTCTGTAGATTATGGTTCTATATTAGACGTTACAGTGCAGCAAAAGTGGCATATTCCTGAAAATTGTCAATTAATAAAGAGTAGAATGTGTACATGTATTTAAAAAAATGAACATTTAAAAAAAATACGAAGACAGCAATGGTATTGTAAAAATGTTTCAATGTAGCCTGAATGCATTAATAAGTTAATTTAGTTTTTTTATTACATATAAATTTTACATGTTACCTATGTTTACACATTTCCTTGCTGTCAGTTTGTAGCAAGTTAAGGTCAGAGCAAGAGGTTTTATACAGTAGGGTTAATATTATCTGTCACCGTGCTTGTAGATTCGCAAATGGGAGCCGACAATCAAAAATCCATACAGGGGTGTGGTTGTCTGGCCTGTCCCCGAGAACATGGAGATCACTGTGACATTGTTCAGCGACCCACGAACGAATGACTTTGAAGATAAAGAATGGCTTTTTTTCGTTGAGGATGTAAGTACTCACTCTGCCAGTGGGTGTTAGCAAGACCCCTGCTATTGTTAATGATGTCAGTCAGTTTCAGGAGGTTTCTAGCTGGAGTTGGAATCGAAAAGTGGTCATTGTTTATTGCAGTTTACACAATGCAGTCCTAAACATTGATTTCAAAATGCTGTATGAAGTATAGGACGATGTCTTCGTTATTTAGTGATAGTTGGAGACCATTTACAATATATCTCAAGACCATTGTTATAAACCCGCGCTCCATGTGAATAGGTGGGTAGCAATGGCAAGCGGCGCCAGCTGGCGTCATGCTGTGTCAACATGAAGAAGTATGCAAGCATGGTTCCGAGCCAGAATGATGTGCAGCTCGTCTTCAAGCCACTCAGTAAGAAGGTGGTCTCCTGCAAGCTGCAGCTCACCATATCGTGCGTGTTCCTTAGGGAAGGCAAAGCAACGTATGTATTATTTCAAATTGTATGATGTATCATATTATGTATCGTATTATGTATCGTTCTGCAACTTCTTTAGATAGCAGGTGTCCCATGAATAGTTCAATCTACAGAACAGTTACAGTTTTTAAATCTGTGCCTTGTCATCTTCGTTTTTTTTCCATTTTGACTTTTTTATAAGAGTAAAGTAAATACGATTATTATTAGGTAACGCTGCAAGGGTTCATTTGCATACATACATTATATATGATATTGTGTACATATCTGTACAGTGCATAGATATGTTCATGGTAATGTCTAGTGCAAGTTAGAGTTAGTAAGGCCATTGCTTGTTACGCATACTAGAGTAGCAGTGGGAAAAAACCACTTGCTCTTTACCCATGAAGTTTAAGCTCTCATTTTGTTACCTTCATGACTAGATAACACATTTGTGTAGTTATCCCCGGGGTTATGGAAAAGAAGTATCATTGAAAAGTGCATGTACAGTTTCTGTCTGGGTGAATTTTCACAACCTGAGTGTCTCTGACACAGGTATTACTGTATACAGTTTTAAATTAACACAGTAGTATAAAAACCAATCAATGATGTAGATAGGTCCCCTGTGACTAGTGGTTTTATTATATAATTTGACTAAATACTAAAAATTCTTAAAAAGAGAAACTGGTTCAAAGTGCAGCATTAGGTATTTATTCCAGCAACTGGGTTATATTTTAATCCTGCTCAAATTTAATCTGACTCTAAAACTATCGATCCTTCTTTCACACTTTGTCCAAGCATGTTGTATTTTTCCATAACAGGGATGAGGACATGCAAAGCATAGCTAGTCTAATGAGCATCAACAGGGATAATGATATCGGTAACCTTGACGATTTCGATGAGTCAGCTGAGCAGGCAGACATCTCGGACGTCAAGGATGCTGACACTTCTGCCAAGATTAGTGAGATTGCATCGAAGTTTGGCATGTGGGCGGCAGGCGAAGGTACGGTGGATGAGATGTCGTCATCTATTATCAACGAAGAGGAGGAATCTGCAGGGGAGGAGACACCGGAGGTAAAGCAGGAGGTGGATGTACTGCCTCTGCAGCCAATGCCACAGACACACAAGCCCGTTTCATCTCGAGAAGGTGTGCTATGGTTCTGCATTTAGCTGCTGATAATGTCACTGTGTGTAAATCAAGTTTAAAGTTGAAAGCATTTTATTTGTATTTAAAGGCGAATTTCGCTTTACTCCGTTGATCGACATGTTACATGTATCCGCTATGTGTATGTAACTTGTATCCTGTGTTCCCCCGGTTGGCCAAAATCAAGGTGCGACTTGCAAAAACTCAGAGGTTTTCATACAGTGCTGAGCGAGTTCTAACTGAGTAGTTTTTTTAATGTAAAGGGTTGGAAAACATTGTCAAGATGGGTCTGTAATCAGTATGGTAGCGCCTCCTTATCCTACTGTGCATTGATCACTGCCAACATGCACTTGCTAATGCAGTCCCACTCAAATGCATAAATCTGCATTCTTTGAAGAATGCCCCTTGTCACGAGGTCAGTGCAGTTTAATATAACATTTGATGACGTACTACTACCAAATATCCTCTAAAAATCTAGTATCTTCTACCTTAGTACCTATGTAAAAATGTACAAATATATGAAGGGAGAGGGAGGAGTAGGGAATGGGTCCATTCCCAGTTCCCCAAGTCAAAAATATGTGATTTTACAATTACCAATTAAATAAAATTGAAGTGACTGTTATTCCCGATTCACGAAAAATTGATCTGGTATTTCCTGATTATTGAAAATACCCCTTCCCTCTCAAATATCACACAGCTAGCATTATGGGTCTTAGTGATGTTACTTTATTAAGATGCACACTCAATGTAATTTTTCTGGGCCATAGGAGATTGTTGGTCCTAGAAAAACTAGATCCGTGTATGCATAATAATAACATGCTTGGCTATGTGTGTATGTCTTTTGCAGCACAACCAATTTTTGACCTGTGCAGACCTCGGCTTTCTTCCGAACATGAGCCAGACAATGTGTCACCAGAGTCTGATAGCAACAAAGAGTCCGAGGACATAACCCAGATGTTTGAAAGTTGTAAAAAGAGAAGTGATGATAAAGAGAAGAAATCTGCAGATAAATCAAACAGGTAATTAATATATTACACTTGGTGATAGAGGGGTAATCGCTCAGGATTCGGAGGATAGATCCTTGAAAAGTTAACCATGAATTGAAATTCCACGAATAAGAATAATCTTATCCCATCGACTACCATTATATATTTTTATGAGATATGTTTCTTCACAAAATTATTCGCATAAGAGAAGTAAACACATTTATGAATGAAATATATATTTTTAGTAATGGATTCATCATTTTAACATGAGTACATTAACAGCACTAAGACATGCCGAAACAAAGCAAAGTCTTAGTTTGTCTATAATTTATTATATATGTAACTTAACCAACTTGAACTAAAAAGTTACCTTAAATATTCAACTAGTCTTTTCCCTAATTGTTTTTCCCAAACGTAATTGCAATCTAGAGATATAGTCTGAAAACTAGGACAAGATTTGCAATAATTCTCCCTGTTTGTACACCAACAAAATTAATTATCAAATCATACCTTATATACCACACCTTATCACAATTGATGATCGGTATTGCTCTAACGAAGTTTTCATAGTGACATGCTGTTGTCAGTGTAGTAATTTAGTAAGCAACGGTTTTAGTCGACAGGTAGTCATAGCAACATTTGTACATGCGAATATGTCCAACCTATCATGCGTATTATTTAGCCAGCTAAAGCTAACTCAAAAACACATTACACTTCATCAGGGATAGAAAAACAACATTTGCATTTCACTATTTTCGTTTATGTAAGTAGCATTTTTCAAGTTACGTGATATGGTTACATTCAATCGTAGTATTTGTACAGTGACTTCTAGACTTACTCACAGACTACTTCTAGACCTGGCCTGCAGCTAGTGGAGTGAATCTAACACACTCCCAACTGTGCTACTAAACCGGGGTGGGAGGGGGCGTTTAACTGCATATCAACAGCTGGTTGACTGGTGGCATGCAGGTCTGTGATAACGACTGTATGTGTGCATATCCTGTAATTATATGAACAAGTTAGTGAACATGTTTATGTGTGTGTTGCATATATCTTGTTTTAAAATATACGTGATGAATAATTTTCACCACAGCCCTGATTCCAAAACGAGTTCCATCTTGGGAAGTCCGCACAAAAGATCTGATCCTGCCCTGTTACAGCCATTGAATCTAGTCACTGATGTCGGCGAAGAGCCAGTGGTAAGTTTTAGATAGAACATGGGACCTGTTTCTAGCCCCTACTTAGCTAGCCCCTAACATAGCTTTTAAGAAATTGTCATGTCATTTGACTAAAAAAAAACGTACTGGTATATATATACATATATATATATATATATATATATATATATATATATATATATATACAAGGAGTAGATAATAGGAGAAAGATATGACAGGGCTGGCCTTTTAACAGGCGTTTTGCTTACGTTGTTCAATCTTGTAAAATACTTCTATCATATGTGAATAAATATATCAAACTTTACCTTGTTGCGCTATTGATTTCTCCCTTAATCTAGGAATAATATGTCCGATTGAATTAATGCATATGTTTGCGAATGCTAGAGTAAGCTGGTCACCCTTGTGTAGTTAATAAGTAATTACGCTTATAGCCCATAAGACCGCATTATTATTGTCGCATATCACTGCTGGTTGTTACTAAGGAAATGTCTCATGGAAATCCGCATCCAAGAAATCGGTTGACTGAGTTGTTTACTAGTTTCAAAACCGCTGCGGGTCTCGGCGACGCGGGTGGGATACAGAATGTATAGTGCATCGCGGACATTTTCGCACGCCATACGCTCGGCCGTACGGCAATATGCAGTCATTCAGTGATTTCGTTGAAGCACGGACCTTGGCTCGGTGATAAGGAACCTTTTTGTTAGGGCTGTCCCCTGTGCGTCCCGTGATTTAGTACGTGTCGTCTTTACCGCCATTTCCTATGTTTTAGTCCGTGGCCGTGGTTACAATAGGCTGACACCAGCGGGGCCTATTTCATCTGGCGTCTCGAGAGAGACATACGTGGGCTGCATATATCGTTTACGTCATCTCGGTTACCCTATCGCTTAATTGATGTCCTGCTCTGACTATGTTTAACGCTAACGGCTTCGACACTAATGTGTGGCCCGGGGCCACCACACTGATGTCGGGGCCATCCAAAATTTCAAAAAGATTAAAAATTTGGGGGTCCGATTCGGCGGGGATGGGCCATCTAAAATTTCAAAGTGTCTATGGAATAAATATCAATTGGTTATGACGTGCTAATCGCTCATGAAATGTAATATTAGAGCAGCGATACCGTTCGGCGGGGATGCGAGCCGGTTGGATCAAGGAGCACAAATCAGCAGACA